CAAGCTCCATCTTGAACAAGATATTCCGCCGTTGCGCCTCTTTGCGGTAGAGATGTGTCGCGTCCTCGATGGCATCCTGCAAGTCGAACGGCTCGTTGAACGAGGTCTCGTTTCCGCTCTCGAGTCGAGTGAGGTCCTGAAAGGCATCTTCAGCATCGCAGCGCTATCGCACATGGCGTCTTGACACACCAAAAGGTCGTTGATCGTGAATAGCAGACTCTGTTGTTGTGCAAAGTAAACATCAGTCTATCATCAACACCGACGGAATGTCTGACCTTGGATGCAGCATGCGAGCGGTTCAGATTGTCGCGAGTCTCGTCATCCAACGGCCCATTGAGCGCCATTTCGAGGTAACTGCTCGCAAATTAGATATACGATACCAAGTCAGTAACGGAACCACGCACTTGATGATGTGATTCAGCGGGGTCCGAACTGGGGGGATACAACATGAGAAGAGCCACATCAACCGATAATCCACCACACACCTTCGTGCGATGCATTTGAGAGCAACAAATTCGTGAGCCGCGTCGTCTGGAGTGCATTCTCCTTCTGCCTCCACACTTCAATGAACTAAACGCACAATCATTAAACAACCATCGGGGGTAGCTTGTAATGCACGAGACGACTCACCTTGCCATACACCAACGCAAGCACGCCCGCCGTCTCGAGCTGCTCATCCGTCCACGCCCGACACCGACCCGCCACCGTCTCCGACCAAATCGTAAATGACGTGCGCGGCTCAAGCAGCGTGTCCGTCCCAGGGACGTTCTTAGCGTTCGGATTCCCCGCCCAGTGCACGTTCCGCGGCTGCCCCTTGCGCAAGAAACAGATAAAGTCCTTGCCCTCGCTCGACAGCGGCACGTAAAGCATCCCCGCGACGACCTCGAGGCCAGCAGTCATCGTGAGGTCTTCGTAATCCCTGGTAACGGCTTGCGAGACTTGTATCGTACTGAATTCTTACTGAGGATAAAAGCAAGGATAGAAATGAGAGTGACCACAGACGTGAACTGCTTGAGTCGCAGATACTCCGCCATAATGAGGATTTCCTGCCCGTGTTCATTCGGCCCGAGCATCTTGGCAGCTTCCCCGATCTATACAGATGAAAATGAGCTGAACACTTGAGAGGTTGACGAAACTACATACGACTAGCACCCCAAAGTCTGCATCAAACAACCCGAGCAGGTCATCAGCGTTGCTCACAATGTACCCCGTCTAGTTCCATAGTCAGTCGAAGAAGAAGGGCTTCCAAGTGAAAAAAAATACTTACAGGATGGTTATCGGACGCCATGGTGTTGATCTGTTTCAACGTTAGTCCACTATTCGACTAACCACAGTCACGACTCACCAGTTTCCTCGTCGTTAACCGTTGGGCGTAACTGAGGCGTTCGATGTTCCGTGATATCGACTGGCTGAGCAGACGCAACATCTGCCGAACGGGAAACGATACGCGCATGCCGTGCGCCCCATACGAGTGGCACGTTACGAGCCCCCACAAAGCGCCGAACGCCATTATCGACTGGAAAGGGGTTTAAAAGAGCGAAGAGGAGAAATTAAAGGATAAATAACACGTACAACAGACATGGACGCCCGAACCCCCATATTTTCCAAGTCTGAACCCAGCCATTAGTCACTCCGCTACGCTTCGCGCACAGGCAAAGACGCACATTTAATATGTATCGGGCTCATCGCGCGCAGGTAGCAATGGGTCATGTTCTGAATGTACATGAGCCCGAATTCAGACTAAAAGCAGATCAATGGAACGCACCAGAGGCGTCTTGAGGTCTTCACGACTGCGAACAACGATGCGCGCCGTGCTCTGCGAGCGATTGTACAGCAGCCGGACTTTGTCTGTTATCAAATCGTCAGCTCAAGTTGACGGTATACGAAAAAATGCCCGGCCACGCACTAATTGCATACAACTGTCTGGCCTATCACCCACATCGAGTTGAAATGAGTCGCACCTCTTGCAGTTCGTTGATAATACACACCTGCGCCGGAATATCAGCTGCCGGAAAATGCAGCCCCCGATACAGATCGTGCGTTTTGCTCCAGTCCAGCAACTCTGCGACGACCTGCCCATTCCACACCTCGTCAAACTGATAGACCAATACCCTGTGAAACTGCGACAGATCCTTGATCACGCCGACGACGACCTGAAGGAACGCCGGGAGGTCGGGCGCGTCTCCCAGCTGCTCGTTGATCTGCGCCATCACAGCGAACACGTCCATCATCCCCACCCCACCAGACACGTTTCCTCCAGCGCGCCGCGACCGCCGTGAGCGCGTCTCGTTGGGTGACGCAGAGCGGTCTGTGGCCGAAGCAGGTTCGCCGCGCGCGATGCGCCGGAGACGCTCGAGCGCAAGGAGCGGCTTTGCACGTGACGTCGTACTTTCCAGAATCTCCTCCGCGGTGGGCCCATCGTTGCCTTTCGTGGCGTCGACCTCCAGTGAACGACCTGCTTCAGTGAGCCCTAATTCCTTGTCCTCCGACGCAGTGTGTGGTGTCGTCGTTGGAGTGTTGTTGTCTGTGCCGTGTAGCGTCTGCTCAGAACCGTCCGTCGACGACCCTCCAGTGCCGTTGTCGGTGCTCCGCGTACTCGCACTGCCGCTGCTCACAGAACCAGACGGCGTCCCTACTTCCTGACCCGCTTCTTCTGCCGGGGATGGGTACAGGGGGTTGAGCGTGTCGCGCTCGAGCTCAAACTCCATGATGATAAGCGAATTGCTTCCACCCGCGGGGTCCGACGGTCGATGGACGGCACACCAGCAAGTCCAGGAGCGGCGACTACCGCTCGCCTCCTGATCGTTCGGTGCAGCGCTGCCAGGTGCACCCCATCCGCTGAGCAAAAACACGTGCGGCGACGCCTCCTCCTCTTGCGTGTTCAGATCAGACTCGGAAAGGAACTGGATGTTGTCCCAGAGGGTCCCGGCTTGTGACTCGGGAAGGGTGTCCGTGAAACACTCGAGGGAGAATAGGTAACGGGGAGACAGGCCGAGGAGTTCTTCAGCGTTCTGTGTGGCAGATAATTAGTAGCGAGTATTGCGATATGTAGAGACACACCTCTGAGACCTGCCGTACGACGAGAGCATCTTCCAACTCGTCGACTGCGATGAGAACGCCGAATCCTTGCACGGCGCCCGGTGTACGAATCGGCTAAAAGTAACTTGGATTAGTTACGAGAAGCCGATGGATCCGATGCGCACCTCGTCTTCGCAGCGAGCAAGCTTGCCCTCCCTGCCGACGATAACGTGGTGTCCATCTTCGTCCGTAACATGCTGGAAACGGACGGTAAGGAGCATGGAGGCGTCGCTGGCGTCTGAGCCCGACGCGGACTCTGAACCCGAACCGGATACTTGATTGGACGACGAGTGGGAGGAGGATCCGGAACCCTGGACGTCATCCCCTGGCGAGGGCCGCTGAGGAGAAGACTTGCCAGAGTCGGAGCGGCTTCCGGAGGGACCCCCACTCTTTTGGCTTCCACGGCTTCCATGTAAAGACATGGACACCAAAGAGGTGCCTTGTTGGCTACGCGGGGGACTGGACGGTAAAGGCGGGAGGTGGACCAAGCCGTATTGCGATGGGTTCCATGGCAAGGGCGCGTCGGGAACCTCCTCTGGCGGCAGAGGGTCATCGCTGACAGGGACTTGCTCGGGTCGGGCACGGGGCTCTGGTGGTGGATCCCGCGGAAGGGGCCTCGGTTCTGGGGCAGGAGAGGCGACATCAGCCACGGATGGCGATGTAGAAAAGACTGCGAGGGCATCAGGGGGTAATTCACCGGTTCTGATAGTTGTGGCAGTAAAAGTGCGACGTAGATTGGGAGCCGAGTCTTCGCCCGGGAAGTGCCTGAAGTTTGGAGCCACTATACTCGCGCGATGGCGACGTTTCCGTGATTTTTTTACCACGCCGGCCGCAGGGGGGTTAGCGGAGGAATCCGACACCGTCCTCCTGCGACGTGGAGGAGAGGGTTTCTCGGCAGCATCGGAAGATTCCTTTGTCCAGCCATCTACGCGTGGATTTGCAGCAGCGGACTGGCGGCGAGACTGGATGTCTACGGCCTCCGTCTCGCGGGTGTGCGAGTTGCGAGCAGGCTGGATGGAGCTGCTGAGGAGAGAGCGGACCGGGTAGACATAGGACGAGGACGAGGGAGCATCGGAATCAGACAAGACCATGATACATGAGAGTAGAGAAAGACACGCTTTTAGGTCTACTGCCAGACATCAATCCCTGACGTCATGCTGCCCCACTTGCGAGCGTTAAGCGATCATCGATCATCAGCGACCGCCACACCGCGATTCTTTCCCGAGTATTCGCTTTTCTGAGAGTATCCTTCAGGGTCGTATCTCAACGCCTGCATTTTTCGTGTCATCAATCATAAATGCCTGCCCGTACGCTCTTCCTGGATAATGCCACTTGGAAGCCAGTCCCGCAGCTACTTTTCAAACAACATCTTTGAATTTACTGACTCGAATCTACTCCACTAGAGGGGGCTCGGGAACGTAGTTCTTGCGCCGCCCTGACGTCAAGTCATCACACGCATAAACAACCGCTTCGCAAACCCAAATAGGCAGTCCCCACTTGTCGGCTTCTAACGCGTTCTTGGAACCGAAAACTATTCGGGCCCGCAGCCGTCAGGTAGAGTAAGCAGTGCCGAGGCAAATCTCCTGTTTCAGGGTCTCCCCGAGGTCCCCGACACACACCTTTCGTCTCGGGAAATCACGTCTTCCGAGTGGGAAGATTTCCTGAACTGCAAGGCGCACCCGCCTACTTACGGTGGATGTCCCCAGCTCCTCTCCCAGCCGAATTGATTTGCAACCCTAGTCGTACTCGTTGCGTTTCAACCAAGTTCCAACCCCACATCACCACTTGGGGGCACTTTCTGCTTTCCTCGTCTCAACTATACCAGACTGTCAATCATAACACGCAAATAATTGAGCGCCATCCTATGAACAGTGATTGTAACGCAGCAGCACCAAATTAGAATTTGAAGGCCCACCGTCATCGCTCTCGTGGTCTAGTAGAATGATACGCGCTTTGGGCTTGTTACACATCACTGTGTAATCCGATGCGCGGGGTCCCGGGTTCAAATCCCGGCGAGGGTCCTTTTCTTGTCTTTTTGAAGCTTCTCCTTTAAGAGTCCTGCGCTGAACTCCTTTTTGCGGGAACGATATCGATGTACAAGTGCAATCGCGATCTACTAACTAAGCTCCAAAATTCCACAGGTCGGAGACAGTGCAGTCGCGATCTACTAACTAAGCTCCAAAACTCCACAGGTCGGAGACAGTGCAGTCGCGATCTACTAAACCCCAAAACTCCACAGCTCGGAGACAACATCGCCACTCAGTACCTCAGGGTCGTGTGAAAACAGAGCTACATCCTTCCCCATCTCCATCCCCACAGGCGGCTCCTTCTTGATCTTCCTATTCGCATCCGCGTCGAACAACTACAGCGCGCGCGCATAAGTGCCCAACCCAAACTCAGACACACAACCCACATACCGTCCCATACGTATGATCCAAGAAATCCTCCATCGCATAACTCGGCTTCGTGAACGCCTCGGAGAAGATCTTGCTCAGCGTCGACACGCCCGCGAGGTAATGCTCCCGGTGCGAGTTGAGCTCCCACAAGGAGCTCTCCATTGCGTGCGTAAGGAGTGGGTTTGGTTCGGTCGGATCGAACGGGTCCGTGGAGAGCCCGTCGGGGCGGTGGATCATGTGCATGAGCGCGGGGTGGCGCTTGAGGGTGTTGTAAGTGAATGGGATGAGCATGATCACCGCGGCTGGGGGAGCGGAGAGAGACAAGCGCGCGAGCCGCTTGATGAAGGAGGCTAGGAGCGTCGCTGGGAGATGACTAGGACCTCCGTTAGCAGTAGCGCTTTCGACGGGAAAGGAAAGACATACGTTGAACTGAGAAACAGCTCAGTCAGCCGGAAGAACCGCGCACGGTGTTTTGAATGGAGGACGTCCCGATCGAGAAACGCGTATAATTTCGTGTAGAATGAAGGATAATCTCTGAAGAACACGATTATAGTTCCGGATTCAAGTAAAGAGAAATGAGCTCTCACAAGTTATACTCCTTCATCAGCACGAAAAGCGCATTGAGCGCAAGAAGACCGATGGATCCGCCTTTGTGAACAGGTAAGTAAGAGCATCAAGAATAATTCAGACAACCACAGACCGTGGTCAACGCAACCACCGACCCAATCCATGATCAAGACAGGCCGCGTCAAGTGAGGCATGACCCCCCGATGCATCACATTAAGCGCACGGAGCGATAGACTCTTCCTCGTCGATACATCCCGCACCGCAGACAATTTCGGGAGGAGCGCAAGCCACGCTCGGGTGAACACCGCTCGATGCGAAGGCAGCGAATGCAACGACTGATGAATCGTCATCTTATGCAGTCTCGCCCCTGGTTTGCGAGCTTTATCCGAGTCTTTAGACGCTGTATCATCCTCAAAGAATTTCCGCCAATCGTCTTCGTCTTCCCCCTCCTTGTCCGGCTCCTCATCCGACGACAACTCATCCGCGCTCGCGGAAGCCTTCTTGGATGGCTTCGGCTTCGGCGGTTTAGAGCCCAATTCCGATACCCACCATGCGTTGAGCTCCTCTTTTTCCGTTGGGAAGGTAGTGAGGCCCTCGAGGATAGTTAAAAGATTTGTGGGAAGGTCGGGGTGCTCAGAAATCGAGGCGGTGGTTATTAATGACCTACAGAACATGAGCATTTGCATCGTTCAAGCTGAAGAGAGCGTACCCGGCTTCACGAAGGAAGAACCAGCGCACATCATCATGCACTGCGAACCAAGTCTCGTGGAAGAGATGAAGAACGTCTGCATCAAGCACCCCCGGGCTGGCTTGTGCTGACCGCGGAGAAGGAGGGCATAACAGCAAGGCGGAAACGATTTTTCGGAAATGCGAAGCGTGAAATTGAGGGTGAGAGTCCAACACGCTGGAAGATGTCGAGAGATGTTTTTGAAGCGAAAACAGTATCTGCAAAGACGATATCTGGAGAAAACCATGAGCAACGACCCAGAAGACAAAAAAAAAGTAAAAAAATTACACGCAGCAGCTTTTCCTCGTCCTTCAAGAGGCCGCACAGGAAGTCGACGTAAGAATTCAGCTTGTCCCATATCCAAGCCTTTACAACTTTGGCCGCGTCGTCGCCCCCAGTACCCAGTTTGCCGCCTGTTATGAGAATGACAAACACTCTGTACAGAGCATATATGGCTTTTGAAGTGTCCTGAGCATCGCTGGCTGTGAACGCTAGGTCCAAAAGGTCGGCCAAAGGATTCAACGAGGCATTGGCGGCGGCAGCAGAAGTCAGCTGCTCCTCCAGTCGCTGGATCGATTTCGCAAATTCGGAATCTTTTTGAATCCTGCGTTTCTTGCTCGGAGGCGGCAACGACGGAGCAGGGCGCGTCATGGAGGAAGGGAACAAAATTTTACACAGCCACATTGTATGCCGTCAAGGCCGAATAAACTTTCTATCTACACATTTCTCTGCGGAGCACTACGAATAGCCTGCATTAATGGATCGGGGTCCTCGTCTCCGTTCCAAGCGTTCCGGAGCGTAAAATTCAAATCAAGATATAACGTCGGGTATGCAGTCCACAACCACGGGTCGCCGATGAACTCGAGAAGATCGTTCTCTCGATCATCACTCCCGTTCGCTTCAATCCCAGTTACGATCCGATCCAGATCCTCCGCGAATTTCCCGGGGCCTCCAGGTAGCCGCACCTCCAAGCTTTTCATCCCCATATGTATAACGCAATAGATGAACCTTTCGCCCGTGGCGGGTAACTTTGCTTTCCACGCGGAGGGATGGAAGAATTCTACCGCATGCAACATGCTTAATTGCTGGCATCTGTCGTCGTCTTTCTGGACATACTCTTTGAAGAATTGCGGAATGTCCTCGTCGTTAAATTTCATGTAATCGAAGCTGTTGACGTCGGGCATGCAGTAAACAAACCACTTGTATCGAATGAGGCTGCTGAGTGGTTTGTGTTCAGGGAGGGGGAGGTAGGCGAGCTCCAGGGAGTGGTGGAAGAGCTCCCCGTAAATGACCCACGACAACAGGGTTGTTTCGGGATCGTTACACACTGTTGGCCAGCCGCTCGCAGGCCCCTCCCCGAGATCAAGTTCTCGATTCAAGGGGTTGAGAACGTCGCATTTATAGGTGTAGAGCCTTCGAATGTCGTCCATGGTAAGCTCTGAGACGGCAATTGCCAGTTCCAAGAGCTTGTCCACACCCCCTTGTATGGCCACCTCTAGTTGGAAACGGCGCTCGTCATGTTTGACCGCCCAGTCCGCAACCTGGCGAGCAGTCGCAGCAATGAGAAGATGGGGATGAGGTCGGAAAAATACGCGGCCAGAGTTGGCGGCGAGTCGAGGTATGATTTTTGGATCGGGATTGCCGCAGGTGCGATAGAGCGTGCGGCACGTCGAGAAGAGAGAGCAAAGATCTTCGATGGAATGTAGATAATCTGGAAGATTCAAGAGGAGCTCTGGAGGAAGCGTATCCAGCGACATGGTGGTTGAATCTGGGTTGAATCTCGAGTCAAGTCGCGGTGGCGATGCGGTGAATCAGATCGGAACGCGGTGGCGTGACACCAAAATGCTTTCTGGTAGAAAAAAATCAAGTTCAACTTCAAGCTGTTAACTTGGTTTTCTCTTTAATTTCGCTCGTAAAAACGCAGAAACCAGGCGACTCGCGTCACAATCATCGATCTTGTAGTACGTGGTATCCGGTTGACGGTCACGCCGAGTCGCAATCTGCCTGGCAGAGACAGCCCAAGATCCTATCGGTTATATCGTCAACATCGATGTCCAATCAGAAGGAGCTGAGGTGAGTCTCAATGCATTTTACTGAGCTCATCTGACGGTCAGTAGATTCCCCCGGCCCTTGCCCGTGGATAGAGTCCGCGTCATCTTCGTCACTTAGTTACTTCGCTTAGCGCTGCGAAAGCTCGTAACTTTGATGGGAGTTTGTGAAAGTTCGTGAGTTTGATATCTTTATGTGAAAGTTCGTGTGTTAGTATTCCGGGCTTGTCAAACGGCGACTCCTCGGCACATCACGGAGTGATGGGCATCAGCAGCTTGCCGCGGTTGGCTGGTTAGGTTTGGGTCAGTTGGTTAGGGGTTGGAGGTTAGAGGTTTGGGTTCGTTGGTTGAGGTTAGTAGTTAGTGGTTAGAGGTTAGAGTTTGGGTTAGAGGTTAGTGTTAGGCCAGGGTATCTATATAAAAAACGGGGGGAGAAGGAAATGATGGGCAGATTGATGCGTTTGATTTGTGTGGTGCGTTCACCTCACGAACTTTCCGGGGAATTAAACCAAAGTGACGAAGTTTCAGAACTTTCCATCAAAGTGACGAAGTTGCGCCAGATTAAGCGAAGTAACGAAGTGACGAAGGTGACTACTACTCCCGTGGATAAACGTTCCCAGTGAAAACACGATCACGGGAGGTATCGCCCAGGCATCGCCTGGTATCGCTGAGTATCGTTGTGTCACTAAATATCTCAAATTGCGAAATCCAATGGGATCCGATACCTGACGATACTGTACGATGCCTCACAGTGCAATAATGAGAGCACGATCAAAAATATATTCCGCTAGTATCGCTAGGTACAGTACGGTATCGGAAATCCTCGCCTCACCTCTCCAGCTCCCCACTGCTCCTGCGCTGCTGCCGCTTCGCCCGCGCGCTTCCCCATCGTCGCTTCGCCCATACCATGCTCTTGCAGAGGTTAGACTTGGGAGGAGAGTGGAGCGCGCTGGAGTGAGAACAGGGATGCATCTGCAAATGAACGTCAGTTGACCATACAGTAAAGGAATTGAAAGCAAGACGTACGAGATAGAAATACGATGGTAGTGCACTATAAAACAGAATATGTTAACAATGAGGACGTCAATTCACCCAGGAGCATACCTTAGACACCCAGCATCTGGCGTCCACGACTCTCATGGCGGTGCCCACCTACTTTGTGGTACAAAGATTGCTGCAGCACCGTCGCCGTCGTCGAGTTCTTGTTGCGTGATGGACTGCGAATGAACTGCTCAGTTGTTTCCCGCAAGTAACAACAAATGTCCAACGTACTATGGGTCTAC